CAATTTTTCAAACACAAAACAACAGCTAATTCAAAAAAATATTAAGAACCTGACAAAATAATAGGGAAAATATTGAGATTTCCTAAACACAATCATAGATGTGTTATCAGTCCGCAAGATTCCGAGTGCGTTTTTCTGAATGATATCTAAGAAAAAAAAAGTTTGTCAGCGCATCTGCTTTCAGACTGAAATGTGAAAATCATGTAAGGTGTCTCGCCTTGTGAAACTAATATAAAATATGTGAAGCGAAAAATCTCTTGTAGACTATAATTCTTTTTCAGGTTAATCGATCACCCGAGTAAGGACCTTTTTCATTTGAGTTTTTTGAATAGAAGCTTTTTCTTCTACGAATGCTCTATTTTCTGTTCGCATTCATACCATTTGCTCATTCCTTTTTATTTGTTTCTATTCGTTTTTTGCAGATTTTACATTCTTATTTTAGAATCATTGAATTAGTAGGTAAATAAGTCTGTTTCACAACTTCATGATATATATATATATATAAATAGCAGATCTTGCACATTGTTACGCATTAATCAACTCTCAAACAACGATATTCCTTATTGTTCGACATAGTAACTTGATCAATTTTTCAAAAGAACTCTAGAAAATTGAACACATGTTATTGTTAATTTGCTTCAGTCTGTAATAAGAAGATGGATGTCTGTAATGGAGACCTGCTTTCCTAAGTGTCTATAAACGGAGGAGGTGGGAACCGCAAATCTTCCACTTGAAACTTCCACTCGGTATTTTCCTCGAAAATATACCTGAACTGCACGAAAAATAATCAACCTACAAATGAAGTAATCTAAATAGTCGGGGTATGCATTCGGTTTTGAATCGCAAGAAGATAAACATTCATACTACTAAGCCGAAGTACTCTTAATATTTTTTAAATTCACTCTCGTTATTATGTAATAGTTTGATTTTGTGCTTCAAAAATTGAAGAAATACAAAATTGAGAGATATGGAAATGTAACTCAATTTCGATTAATAGCCATTTAGTTTCTCAAGAATAGATCATATGATTTTTATTTTTTCATAGCTTTGTAGTCGCAACATTTTTGTATCAGATAAGTCAAACTTTTTTTTTCGTGAGACATCTTATAAAAATGCAGTATCAATTTGAAGATGAGAAGGGTGAGTTGAAAAAAATGTTCCTTTTTTTGCGTTTTCTCACTTTACATGGACAGACAGAGTAAAATGAGACGAAAATGTTTTGTGTCAGAGTCAACTTATGAAAATCAACTCGAAAAGTGCTAGAGGTTTTGCAAGTTCTCTCCAGCTAAAGTTGCTGGGATGATCCGAATTACACGAAACATATATGTCAAACTTGAAACTTGAATTGAATTGAAATTTCAAGTTTCAACTTTCAACTTTCAACTTTCAAGTCTCAAATGGGCAGCACTTTGAAGAATCACCACTAATCCACATTCTCACACACATCACATCGCAGCTGGTGTGCGTGCCGCGAAAGGACTGCCCAGGAAAGGACCGGTCACAAAACGACTTGAAAGTTGAAAGTTGAAATTTCAGTTGAAAGTTGAAATTTCAATTGAATTCAAGTTTCAAGTTTGACACTACTGACACGAGTATGGACTGCTCATATTTCTAATGAATGACTTTACATGTGAGAACATTCATTTGATCCAAATATGCCTAATGTCTTTAACTTACAGCACACAACGACTTGTATGTTCATAAATTTGATATTAAATATATCCTCTTGCATTGATTCTCGAATATCCAAGTGCTATATCATAAGATGAGTGACATTTATTGATAATCTTAATTATTCTGCTGATTTTTGAAATAAATTCCATCAGCTTTTCAGCTATTCTTAATTCACCAAACTTTTATTCATTCGTTGTGATTTGTTTTTTGCAAAACATGCCCATCCACTTTTCTGCACTTGTTTTTTTTTTTATTTTAATAATTTCTAACATATATTCTTCAGAAACTTAAGCACTAAAGATAATGTACATTGCTTAGTACGAAGAAAACAAAAGCTATTAGAGCATAAAAAGTAGTACACAACTTTCGGAAAGTCTACGAAACTATCAACTATTCCGTGTAAAATATATAAAACCTTAAAATAGTTATTAAAGTAGCAATCAATCTCGTACAAACAGTACGAGATTCAGCAGTACTCTGCTAAAATATTGATAATTTCAGATTGAAATAGCAAAACTTATATTATTGAAAACAAAATCTAGAATGATTCCATCAACTTATTACAATGGTTTCTTATATTCTACGAAGTGATCAATATTTGACTTCATAACGACAGGAACTGGAATTCAAATTGTGGAATTCTGAGAAATTTTTCTCAACAGACTGAAAAATCTACAAAATTTTCTGAAATTTAAAAAGAACTTTGTGAAAGGTAGGAGATAATTTGGTTTTCAAAGAATTCAAAATATTTCCATGTAAGAACGTGTAAATTTTAAAGTTCCAAAATACATTTTAGTCTCACAGTATATAATATAATAGATGCAAGAATAGTTACGATATTTTTCTTTTTAGTTTTTTAGTTGAGAAAAATCTTGATAAAAAAATCTTTAGGCATAACCTTTGTCTCTTATACAAACTTATGGAAGTAGGTTGGCACTATGATATATATGGAAATTTGTCGAGATTTCGTAGAAGAAACATTCTGTTTTTTCTTCAATGTAGTTCTTCGATCAGTTTAAATTTACTCCATTTTGATGAACTTCAAATTCAATTGAACAACATGGATGTGTTAACACAACTTACCTTTACAACATCTCACCGATTACCAAGAAACATAGTAACTTATAGAAAGCAAATTTTTATCTTTGTCATCATTTTGTTGGGAGTCGTTGGCACATTTTCTACACATTATCTTTATGGTGCAATGAATTATCACCTCGACACGCCACTACTAAGTCTAATATCAGATGTACATCGAATTCATTTTGAACATTCCGACCATTATAGGAAGCACGGTATACTCTCCATGAAAAACATAAGTAGTATTCAAAGTTATTGTCGTAGTGATGATGCCCTTCTTGGATGTATGTATTGGAACCCGTCTATTTTCCCATTAAATCAACATCGATATTTGATTGCTGTACGTGAATCAACGCGGCAAAACTGTGGTGGTATGATTGGCACATTAACAACTTTAGCCAGAATGTTTTTTAAACCAGCCATAAGTAATGTTCTGATTGGTTCATTGAATCCTAATGAATTAATAATCAAATCGAACAAACAATTTACCGTTCGTCTAAATCAACAACTTCCTGATTCATTTCATTATGATCCTAATGCATATCATAGCGGACACGAAGATCCAAGATGGGTCGCTGATGGAGATAAACTTTATTTACTAACATCATCTGAACGACAGTCCAGACCACATTTATTTTTGACTAGAGTGATGTTAATACAACAGCAGATCGATAATAATATGGATAGTGATTTAGTTAAATTTGGAGAAACAATCGAATTGAGAACTCTTTTTGACGCACCGTCTGCCCAAAAGAATTGGATGCATGTACCTATAGCTGCCAATGAGAAACCGAAAGAGCATCCTAATTGGTTATTATTTGTCTATCAAATATTTCCTACATTACAACTTGTATGGGTGGATCCAGAAACAGGTCATACCGAATTATATGATAATTTGCTGCACTCACTATCATACATGGGTAGCATGCGTGGATCTTCTATGTTTATATCAGAGACTAACAACACATATCTTGGATTTACTCATACATCCCAACCACATATAGCATCTCGTACTGGTATTGTATTGAATATCTATCATTCTTATGTAATCAGATTAGCCAGAGAACCAGCACCGAATACAACATCATGGAAATGGATTATTACTCATAAAACGCCGCCTTTAGCCATGCCAATAGCGAGAAATAAACGTGCTCATCGAATTCAATTTGTAACGACAATAACGCAACATGATTCAGAATTTTGGATATCAATGGGTGATATGGATTGTGATTCTCATATTCTTCGAATTCCAAAGAAATCTCTATTGAATTTATTACATTAGCGACATTTTCGAATAAATATCACGGGGAATTCAAGCCGCTTTAATGTCGATCGACAATATTATTTCTAAATTTTGATTTAGATCAACACGAATGATTTTTCACAACATAATCTTAACCTTTAGTCTATTGACGGATGTCTATAGTCAGTTTCATTTTAGACCGATAAATCAGTGACAGAGTCAGATTTTAGATTTACTAGAAAACATCTCAAAATATTTTCGGTTCGCTTAAACACTAGGCTGAGCTAACAAGTAAAAAAAAAATGCGATTTTAAACTTTAATAATTAGTAGAAATAGTGATAATTGAAAAGAATAACAAAAAATAATCTTCTAATCTACTGGTTAAATATAATTTGAGTGTTCCTATACTTAACAGAAACAAAAAAACTTCAATACCATGATTAAAATCATTTTTGCAATCTCTTATCTGTTAATAATCTAAATCAATTACTTGGACATGTATCAATCATAATATTTATGAGGCTTAGTTTTATTGTTTTAATCATTGTAAAAAATCTTTCAGAGGTGGCTGAGAATAATATTCATTTACATTGCAACTTGTACTATTAAAGCAGCATTCGAAAAACTTGCTTTGTATAACAATAGTTGATAATAGAATTCTCTTACATATATATACTCGATAAATTTTATATTTTTCGACATTGATTTATTTTCGAACATATTAGGATTTTTAGCTTGCAAAAAAAAAGATAAGATACTGGTTAATATTTATATAGTTGGGTGTGGGTGAGAATGTCTGTTTAGATAAAATCATCGCCCACACCCACACTCTATTTTCGCTTAGTTTACAAGTTTGAATATTTATCAAAGATAGTGCCATGAAAATAACTATCGGTTAGAGTATTGACTAATACCGACAATTGTAGCACTATCTAATATAGCATCTTGTAAGGTTAGAATCCTCTTTTCAAGTATAAATCAATGTATTCAGGACAGATGGTATAGATCTTATCGAAGAATCAATCAAAAGGTGATGAAAACTGAGTAAATCATTCAAACCGCCGGTTTTGATAAAAATTAGACTTAATGAGATGTAGCTTGTTAGCGAATCAAATTGGAATCAGTCAATTTCTGTCAAGTATATTGTAATTGTTGCTGTAGCAGGCTAGATGGCATTGTTTCTAAGATAAATTATAGTTGATCAAGAACCTTAGAACTGGGAACGTTAAAGAAAAAGAAAAATTCGCTATTAATTCCATTCTTAACGAAAGTAAAATGAATGTAAATCATTGTTACACTTTTATTAGATAATATTACTGAGAGAGAGCGGGTGTCGGTATGGGATGAGTGTGGGTGGGGTGTGGCTATCGCTGTGGGTGTGGATGGGTTTGGGTGTGGAGTGTGAGTGTCAGAGTATCGATGAGGAGAAGAGACTGGTCCACACCCACACTCACACGCATATCCATACCCAACAATGACTTCATCGGTGAGTTGAATAAACTTAATGATTTTTTAGCAAACTTTTTGATACCGTATTATGAAACTTTTACACTGGAATATAAGTCAAGCCATTGGAAGTCACACCTGTTCGTTCTTTCATGGACTTCAGGGACAGCTGACGATCAAAATTTTTGAAAATATCTGTACTTCTTCTTGGCATGATTCAAGTAGTCCTAACACTGATCATAATCATTCTTGAAATAGTATCATTAGCTGCTTATAACTGTGAATCAACAGGCGCCGGCATCTGATGTTCAGTTTCATTCATGACAGCAGTCATTTTAACTATCCTATTAGATAAGTATATCTAAAAATAATATTTTTACAAAGAAAGAATTAGATAATTATTGAAATAGTGTATTTTAGCATGGAAAGGGAATCGATCAAGGCTTTGGGCTACACGGGTTTTTATTGTTCAATTATTTCTTCTTTTGTTTACATTTGTTCTGATAGGTATTGACAGCAACTTCGTTTCAACGCACAGCAACTGTTATTCTAGAACCAGTATTCCAGAAGAAGACGCATCGCAATCAGACCAAAATTTTAAGACGAGATATCAAATAATGCAAGCCTAGTTGGCATTTTCAATTCTTTTAATGTCCACTGGACTTACCTAGCCAATTTTCTACGGGGTCGTCGCCTATTTGGCCCTGTGGAAACCGTTTAGTACTCTTGATACTTTTCATCTCTTCCGAAAATAAAATGTCATGAACTTCATGTTAAGAGTATTTCAAATAAATATTTTTCTGATCATCATCGTTTTTACACGAAGAATCCGGTTTGGATGTAGGTGTGAGTAGGCATAGGTCTATTAGATATGGACGGTGTAGCTTTGAACCAAGACAAGACATTCCCTCCTTTAACTCTTTCGCTTATGGTTTGTAAAGTGTCTTTGCTGATATCTCTACAAGTCTGTGAGTTGTGAAGTGGACAGACTACATAGCTAAGTGATAAAGTTTTTTTTCAATTTGAACTATCATTTATCGAACAGTGTGACATCAGATCAATTTGCATAATATCCCGTAAGATAGTAAATGAAGTGTGGGTATGCATGTGCATGTCGATTACTTTTACCCACGAAGAAATCCACATTCACACCCACATGCATACTGGCATCCCAACACACACACTCACACCCACACCCCATAAGAACAGTTGTTGCTCGTCGTATTGATTTTCTCAAATGTCGCATCACTTGAGAAATATTTTGAGATCTACTTGCTAGAGAAAATGATTGCATACGTTCGAACAAGAATCGTCGAGACATAACTTCAAAAAAATGATTCAAGTCCAATTAGAGGCGAATCCATAGACATCAATTCTTTTCGATCGAATCATATTGTGAAACGGATTATTGATGATATTGATGATTGGGAAGTTCGTCATTTCAGAAACTTTGTCAACTTAAACTTTACATCAATATGAAAAACTGTTGGGGCAATGCTTGCGAGATTTTGTCCACGATAGAAGGTTCCAATCGTAATATCGAGTGTAGGTCTGAGTGTGAGTTTGCATCTTAAAAAAAATGTACACCCACACCCTTTATCCTGTTTCCTCAGGAAAGACTCGAGAAAATCGTGAGAACTTGCAAGCAATAATCTGGTGACTGCATGCAGTAACTCAATTTTTCTTTGGGTTTGAAACGGCCCGTATTTCGTGACCTGGAGATAGAAATAAGTTATAGAAAGCAATGAATGAGCCATCGAAAATTATTTTGACAAAAGTCCAAATCATATTTCACCTATTCTACTAATAGTCTGCATCTGTTTGTTTTACACCAAATATGCATGTTATTAACTAACAAAATTGCATAGTTCGAAAGTTCATTTTTTTTCTCATTTGACAAATATTAACGTTAATTTTTTTCAGTATCCGATAAGTTTTTGTTTACTTGATACTTCAGTTTTGTTTCCTCAAGTCTATCATGCATTTTTAATAAGAACTATTGAGACAGAAGTTTCCACCGATTGAACTGAAATAACCTATTTTGGCATAAAGCCGATTCTTATGCTAAAGAAATGATTGATATTATTTCAAATGTCTACTAATTATGATGATGGCTAATTTTAAATCAATGTTGACCTATCTTACATATAATATCTAAAATGAACAATTGCTACGGATTATTTTGTTAGTGTGCTGTTAATTACTTTTAACTTGACATAGTTCATTCAGTGAAAGATCAGTGAGTTTAATGATATTATTTATTTTTAACTCAGTGACTCTTTTTTTTTTATTGATTGTTTATATTATGGAATTATTCCTTTATTAATCAAGACAAAAACATTCATAATAATATGACTTCGAGTGTTTATTTTGTAAGAAAACTGGTTTTCAATTTGGAATATACTTATTGTTGATCAATACCGTCTATTCTATAATCTGACGATTAGATAAGAAATGGACGTAACCCAATAACAACATCTGCGTAAGTACGTTTTGCCGAGTTTTGATGGCAATTGATCTATGAAAAAGAATAGTTTTTAAAAAAACAACATAGAGCAAAACATTATTTGTAACCTCATGAAGATGCAACTCTTCCCTACAGCACGGTTTATGACAGTACTGGCATGGAAATTTTTTAGTAATTGTCTCGTTGGTACTTAAAAAGACAAATAAAAATTTTGGTATGTGTTATATAAAATAGCCTGACTGACCGTTGCTGTACTTGGGTTTGTGGCCTTGATTTGTAATTGCATACTTTCTATTAAAATGAAAATAAGAGGAAAAGTGTCTGTCAAAATTACTTGATGATCTATATAATTATTGATTGCAATTGGTTGATTACAGAATTCACACGGAATATAAGCGATGTCATTATTTTTGTTATGCGGGTTAGACATTGATGAATCTAGAACATGAAGGAAAATATAAAAATACAAATAGCTCGATAATATACAAGAGAAATATCTCAACTTTGATTCGAATTTGTATTGTCTTGTTTTTGGTGTCTCTTTTCAATATTCTTTGGATTAGAGAGGCATTTTTTCTGTGAAAAAGATAAGATGAAAGTTGAGTTCTTCATGGGAAAGAATTTTGACATAAAATGCTTACTATATGTATTTTGTAGTCGCCTTCATGATATTCTACCTTACAAAAATTACATAAGAAAGTTACTGGGATTCCTAGACAAAGAAAATCATTTAACATATAAAAAATGATTAAACGATTATCCTACTATAAAACGGCTGTGACTGGTCGACTTGTTGATTATCAACTATTGATGTTATATTGTGATTCTGATTTTTAGTCATAAGTGAGTTTGAACTAGATTCATGGAAGTCAGTAAAATCATCTAGATTAGCACAATTGTTTTCATAGTGATAAGCAAATATGGCTCTTCGGATGAATTTTTTGCAATTGGGACACTGATCTGTTTTATTTCCGCATGTTATCAGATGCTCGCTTAACTTTTCTGATGATGGAAACCGTTCTTGACAGAATACACATGAAACGAATTGATGTGAACATTGAGTAGCCTTAAGAAAAGAAGTAGTGTTTTACAAGAGAAGAGTAAAAAATAAAATATCTCTCATAC